ATGGCGTGACGTGAAAGGCATGCAAATGGCTGGTAACCTGGCATACAAACCACCTTCGTGAAGCCTTCTACGCACAGTTGACGTTGACACCAACCTTCCGGTGGCTGCAGCAAGGGAGGATCTAAGAAGAATCGGAGTAGCGGTTCTATTCCTGCATGCACATAATGTCAAATATTGGTCATTGGCGCTCGTCGTAGCAATTGGCTGTCCTTGGCTGAACCTCCTAGATGCCGAATCTGTGGTTTGAAATTGCCTCCAAAATAACCACAGAAGGACTCACATTTAGCCATCTGGCCACCTCTGTTTGACTTTGTCCTGCCTCTAGTCTCCCAATGGCTCTCCATCGAAATTTTGATGGCAAATGATACCTGGAGGTCATTGTTATGAATTGGCTATCTCAGATTTCTAATGTCACTGTCACAGTGAAATATGTGGGCTTGCTCTCAAACATGGACTTTTATGCTCCTCGCAGATGACGTATTCCGAGTGCAGTGCCACTAATTTGCATATTGCAGTTTTACTCAGCTGTTCTTACTTGGCAACATATTCAAATTTTACACGGTTTGGCTTATTTTTGAAGGAGTTATCGCTATTTTTGTGATTTTTCCTTAATTTATGATAACCAGTGTACTTCTTTTTGCATATTTTGAAATTTTGCCAGAAACCCAAATAATTAATTATGATTTTTTAATTGTTCAAAACGATCTTTTAGTGATTCTGTAGCTTTATATAAAACCACGTTAAAAAAAGATATCTTGTATGCATTTATCGGGTCTTCAATAGTTTCATCATCACTTTCATAAATGAAATGTTCCTTTCTTTTCCGAAGCATTTTATTTCGAAAGTTTGTTGCCTATTAAGTTTATTATTTCATTTTGTATTGTTTTGCTTAAATAACTTTGATGTATTTGTTTTGTGGCAATTCTTTGTATATGATCCTGCATTACTGGATCAAATTTTCCAAGTAATTCAAGTATACCTAGAAAATTTCCATTTCATTTTGTTTGTTAATAATTTGTTAATAAAGATTATGTAATATAATTAATACTTTCCTTATTCAACAATTAGTAATTGTAATCACAAAATACGACTCTAATAATTATAATGATTAGAAGAATAGTAAACTACAAATGCAAGAAACAATTGACATTTGATATTAGTTATACATCCACCACTGGCTGGTACGGTTGCGCAACTAGTTGCGCATGTGTATACTTGCATAGTAGTTTATGTACTTAAGAGTAGTTCACTTACTTAGGGCAGAATCTTTCTAATATAGGACTATCCCGATTAAATTCAATATATTTGACATGAACTTTTACGGGTATCAGTTTTCTATATTATAAAGTATGTATTATATAATAATAAACACATTAATAAATCTCATCCAGCAATGCGAACTTAAAATAAATATATTTTTAATTATTTGAATAATTCATAATTTATCCATTATCGTCAAAAGCAATTTGCTTTAAATTTCAAAATGTTTTTTTTTTTTTTTTTGGTCATTTTGATGGTAACATGGGGCCCTTTCAAATGCGGGGCCCGATTGGGCCCAATCGCTCCAATCGCCCTTTATCCGGCCCTGTCGATAATATTAGATCAATAACAACTTTTATTTTGAAATATTTTTCTCAGACAATTTTTTTTTTGTTTCCAAACTACTGTACTCACGTATCTTGAATTAGATTTGACTCTACATGACATAATGAGCTTTATGTGGATAAACAATTGATTGCTATTGTTAAATTTATTATAATCAGTGGAATCTTGATTATGCTGGTGAATTGCTGGCACATATTCAGTTATCGACCCCTTGATCATCACTGAACACCTTTAAAAATTCATCAACTCTCAGAGGGTCAATACCAATCCTGTTGGGTTGGTAGATAATTATCATTCATACACAGAAACTGTATTTTTGTTTCAAGCAGAGATTTCCTCACTCTGTAGGTTACATTATGATAGCAGGAATTTAATTTATGTAAAACGGTGTTGCAAAATATTTGATAACCCTAAAATGGCTAAGTGAAGAAGCAATACCCTTAATTTATATGGGAAAAAGTCTTGTATGAAAAGTTTTTTATTTATTTATTTTTTATTTAAGATAGTAAAACACAATGCTATGGTAAATATGAAACTAAGGTACAATATCCATATTTAGGAAACTTCACTTGGAAGACTAAAATAGCATCTTTTTTTCTGAAGAATATTTCCACTTATACAAAATAAATAAATAAAGGTGAAAAGCTTCACTTATGCAATTATTGCAAATAAAGCATGATAAATTATGATATATTATATAGGTTTAGGTAAGTTTTTGGTTTCATTGCTTAAGAATAATTATGCAGTAGGAATAAATGTTACTAGTCCTAGCAGTGAAACATGCTATCTTACTTCAAGCTTTTTGTTGCCGTCAAAGCATGATAAATTTTGTTTCAGCATTGAACCAGGCAAAAACAGAAGTTATAAGCACAATGAATATTACAAAATAAAATTAGCAAAGAGCATAAAATTTAGAATATCTATTTAATACTAGTATATTTTATATCAGGATTATGTTACAAATATACTCTATCAAAGAAAAGAAAAAAAAAAAAAAAAAACAACGGGAAGGTAACAAACTGCTATCACAAAACTTAACATGTATGTAGTGTATGAGGAGATAAACAAATGATTACAAATTCAGAACAATAGATCATTTTGTTAAGAAGTTATAACATGAAAAAGGTTACAAATCAGTAAATAGTATAACCACCTCTGGCAGCTATACAAGCCAAAACAATGCATTCCATAAAATCGAGTAGGTTTGTTACCTATGATCCCTGCGGAAGATCATGTCATAACTTTGCAACTAGGCAATTACTTCACCAGTATTCTGAGATGGCTGCAGTTGCCTTCCAGTGGTGGAGAACCTTTTTGGGGCTACTTGCCCAAAACCTTTTTGTGGGGGGGGGCACATACCCGAAACCTCTTTGATCAAATCTCCATTGGAGAGCGGTTTATCATATTTTGCCAGGCACAGTGGAATATGAAAACTGGCCATTGTTAGATGGTTTGTTTTAGAAAAGTAATTGCAAAAACCACCTTTCTGGTAATTACAATTCCTCAATTTTCCTTCAATAAACACCTTCCATTCAGCTTCATCAAGTTCAACAACAATCTTGTACTTAGTATTTAAAGTGCCATTTGAACTAGACGTGTGACACACAACGCTTTTCCCATACAGAATGCATAATATTTTGTGTTCTAAAATGATCTTGCACTATCAATGTTGAATTTTTCCTTTTTTGCTGGAGTCATTTGTGAGGGTTTAAGACATGGAGTATAGAAAAGCACAAAATTTAAAAATAAAGCATTAAATATAAATCAATTATATACCATAAAGAGGTAACATTATTAGCCAATAGTAAGGCATTGGATTTTCACAAATCAACAATCTATGGATGCAGATTCAAATATGAACAGGGGACAACAATAACTGTTAACTCGGACATCTCTTTGATAAACTTCTAACTTTAGACTTCATATGCTCGTTTTCGGCTTTATTGAGCTTATTTTGGCTAAGCGCATGTGAATAAACTTGGTTTCCCTACTAAGCTTTCGTGTTTTGCTATATTACCAAATTGCATGTTTTTTCATTATATTTGTACATTCTGTTCAAAATATTAAATTAGAATTATTCATAAGTTACCTTAAAATGCTTAGATCTGAAAACTGGAGTCTATTCAACAATGAAAGTATTGCAACTCACCAGCAGTCTGCAATAAATTTGAATTCATTTAGCAAACATTAGCTACTTCAACTTTGGCTTATTCTTTGTTATGTAACAAGTAATGTGATTGAACCAAACAATTGAAACGTCATAAATTGGGTCAATAAATATGTATATCATTTTATGGCGATATATGAAAATCTTGTATCTAGCCTTATTCCAGTGGTATTATGCAATAAGTAAGTAAATTGTTCAAAAACAGACTAAAGCATTTATTTAAATTTCATAGTATCATTTTATCGTGATTATTGATTAAGGAAGTAATATTATAGTCGCATGATGGCTGATGAGGCTCTGCGTGCCCTAGGTTCACCATAACTGTCCTAGACGTACTGTATTGTCAAGAAGTCTGGTGACCTGGCAGGCCACAGGTATGTGGATGAGTGTTGACTTGCTGATAATGGTGTCTGGTTGATTTGATAACATAGACAGTACAACTGACATAAAGATGTCATCCACGTAACTGTGAGCCGTTGCAGCACCTTAGAGGATGACTAGAGGTGATCGTTTTCCCCAACAAATCGATCCTCACATTTTCATACTTTGTGTAATCGTCATATGCTGCTTGATAACAAATGCTGGATCGGACTGCTGGCCTGGCCACCTCCACATATGTGTTGGTTATCAGCACTGAGACTGAATCGAGATTCATCACTGAAGATCACATGCCTCCAGTCAGTCACACTCACGCTTGCCCAAGTTTGGCAAAAATCCAATCGGTACTGCCTATGATGTGGGGTCAGTGATAGGCATCTTAATGGACATCGGCAGCATATACCAGTGTCATTGTATCGATCGTATTGTAAACAGATCTGAAGTATTTGTTAAAGTAGCATTCAATTTATCAGTTCTTAAAAATTTTGAAATGGATGGGGTTAGGTTTTTGGTGAGTTTGTATCCCAATCTTTTCAAAAGGAAACTAATACATGAGGTGAAGGGATAGCAGGAGAATGTTCCAGTGAATTGATTTATCCAGTGAATTCAGTGAATATTCTAGTGAGTTACTGTATTTGAACATTGTATAAACATTGCGTTCAACAAACAGAGTTATCTGTGCTTGAATGATGAGGTGAAATATCTTATTTTAATGTAATTTAGTTTATTGCTCTTTGACTACTTCTGTCACATACACACAAAAGTATTATGAATGATACGATTATGAAATTATACTAAACTATTCTTTTGAATATATGCTTTTATGTATTTATTTTTTGTACCTTTACAGGCTCTGTTACTAGGTAACATAGATTCTGCAAAAGTGCATGCAAGGAGTACAGTTGCAAAACAAAATCTTGCACTTGAATGCCTGAATACCATGGATTTGAATAGAGTCAAAAATAAAATACACATCAGTGAAGTTTTGACGAAGGTATTTTTCAGTTTTTTTAAATAATTAATATTATTGTCTGTAAGTATATAGTTTATGAGTATTGTGTATAAGTTTGATAATTTTGTGTCAAAAATGTAATTGTTTTTGTATAATGTAACTTTCCCGAAAATTCACAGATAAAATTTTTAAATGGATATTCTCTTGTCACAATTTTTCATGTTGCATCATCATTGATTATCTGTTTTCATCATCGAGTACCACATCATAGCCATTAATACACTTTTTGATGGTAGTATCCTTAACTTTGAATATACACCACTGCTTACTGTTGTGTGGAGTGCAGGTGCCAAATTTTAATCATTTTTACTTCCTTGTACAAAGTAAAGGAAATATTGTAATCGCAAAAAAAAATTTGGGTATCATATTTCAATGGAAATATAATTTTAACTGTTCTCAAATCCATTTTGGATGATTCTTTTGCATGACATTCATACATATGGACAGAACAAAGGGCTCCTTTTTTCCAAAAGATTGTAAAATGCATTCAAAAGGGATTTTTCATGACATCTGTACGTTACTTCTAATTACAGAAATGTTTTAAATGATAAAAATATTCAGATTTTGGCAATGCCAAATTCAAATAAAAAGTTTTTGACAAATAGAGAAATCTAATCTTTAATGCGGCCTCCTAGTTCATATACTTATATTTGAGAAAGTTTTGTATTATAAAAAAGTGAAATTCTGATGAGGACACCACATGACTTCCTTATATGGCTTATTACATTATACATGTTTTTTTGCTGCACTTAAATGTTTTTTCTCTAAGAATATTCTAACTTGAATAATTGATCTCTCAAGGCAAGTTGAAAATGACATTAAAAAATTGCAAATTTTGAAATTAAATATGGCGGCCAATTCAAACTTCTTATACTTTTATTTTCTCATAATGAGTATAATGCTTTCCCAGATATAGGTACAGGAATTTGAAGACTGTATTAAAATTAAAATTTTGATATTTGTTGAAAACTGATTTAAAAAAAATTGACATTGCCAAAACATGAAAATTTTGTCATTTAAAAACACTTCTGTAATTGGAACTGTATTGCATGTATAATTGCAGGAAGTGTACTTGTAATTGAAAGTACCAGTGATTGTGAAAATAAAGGCCGGATACGGAAGTAGATATATATATATATAACAAATTTAGAAGTATTCATGTAGGAACACTGAGACGTAGAAACGCAAAAAGTACTGATGGTGAATCATGTAGGTGGCATATTGAGAGAGGAGAAGAAGAATTCTGATTGTGTAGCATATTATATCCTTAATGACTAGAAAACTTGCCAGTTCAGGTGTATCAAATTCCATTTTAATTTAAATTGACATTTGTGGTTACAATTTACTTGCCACTCTAATCGTGCCTATTTCCAACATTTACATTTTTGATACTGTTTCGATACAAAGAGAGCACACTGAAGTTTTGCCCAAGCAGCACACAGAGAGAAACTAAAGTGCACCAGCTATCCAGTATGGAAGATCGCCAAGAGAAAGGTTCTGGTTTAGGTCAGAAAAGTTTCAGTTTTCAAAGTCTTGAGTTCAAGTTTTGAATAAGGTATGTCATCAGCTTTATGCAAGCTCTGTGGCATAGATTAACCTAGGAATGGTGCAGTCAGGAAAGTTATTACTTCTTTGAGAATACAGAGAGGAAATACCCAAATTAAAAATGAGGAATTAAGAGGCTATTACTAAATTAAATTATAAAGCTGAATTGCATATTTTTTATCTTACAAATACACACACGCATAGGTATAAGTGTGTTTGTTTATTTTTAAGGATTAAGAATCTAGTTGCGCACAACTAGATGTTGAAACACTCCCATATATAAAAATTCAACTTCCTACAGCTAATCGTTTTTGAGTTATGCAAGATATATGCATATGCACATACAGACATCACAAAAATTTCCTTGTGAATGCATTTTACAATCTGTTTTCGAAAAAAGTGTCTTTTACAGCTATCTTATAAAAATTAAAGTTTCAGTTTTTGGTTATGTCAGAGAGACTTTCTAATTCTGGAGCTGTAGCAGAATCTGCAAAGTGAAAGCATATTTGGTACTTGCTTTCTATAGTGGACTTAGCACAAGAAAATGGCATTGGTGCAGTTGTGGTTTAAGAAAGTTTGATTTCAAAATTAGGCAAAACAACAGTCTTATTTTGAATGCTATAGAAGGTACAATTTTATGATTAATGGAATTTGAGGAGATATGTGGAAGTGATACAGCGTGTAGCGTAAATGTTGTGACAAACTTCTTGGGGAGGTAGGGCACATCATAAGGATTAAGTATTGCATAGGAACTTATACCCGAAAATGTCAGGGGTAACGGGTAGCAGAGGTAGAAGATGAGGGGGGGGAAGCAAGAGTAATTGATTTGAAACATTTATTGAACATGAATGCAAATGGTGAATGACAACTTGAATGTTACAACAGATGCTCGAAGTTTGCAGCATCAGATGCCAAACATGCCTGACACCAATGGACCATTTGAATGCCACGAATTATTTGATTTTTTTGATGCAGGTTATTCCCAATTTGCTTGAAGATGTTCCAAGAAATGTGAGGCGCAACATGTGTTTCCAACATGATGGTCCCCTGCTTATTTTGGACTGGATGTTCGTAGCCATTTGAACGGATCATTCCCTCATCGATGCATTGCTGCACAGCTGACATACTCGCCTGCACAGCTGCTATAATCAAAGAAAGACCCTGTGTGTTTGAAAATGTCTGACAATAAATGGTTTGTTGGTGTCTGGCATGTTTGCCGCTTGATGACACAAACTTTGAGCATCTATTGTAACATTCAAGCTGTCATACACCATTTGTATTCATGTCCAATAAATGTTTCGAATTAATCACTCTTGCTTCTTTTCCCATCTTCTATCTCTGCTACCATTTACCCCTGACATTTCCGGGTATAGATTCCTATGCAATTCTTAATACTTATGATGTGCCCTACCTCTCCTAGAAGTGTGTTGCAACATTTACGGTACACCCTGTATAATAAAAAAAGGAGATGATATCATGGAAATTTCTATTGTGGTGACACTGCCCTCAAATCAACTAATGGCTGTCAAAATCCATAGTATGGTTTCAATTCTAGAAAATATTGCTCCCAATAGTGATAAAGAGATTTTTGAGATTGAAAAGATTTTGATTGACAATTTAGTGGGAATTTTCGACACAGCAGTTATAGGGCTTAAACAGTGAAACTATGTAACTGAACAAGAAATTATGTCCATCTATACAATTACAAAAAAAATATCAGCATATACAACATATATTGAAAAAAAAAATTTAATAAGGGAAACAAATAAATCTTCAGTTTTTATTTCTGTATATTGTTGCATGTGTACAGGTTCATAATAGATTGAATGCACAAGTCTGATAAAAGGTTAATAAAATAAATTTTTATTTTTATATATCGTTGCATGTGTACAGGTTCATAATAGATTGAATGCACAAGTCTGATAAAAGGTTAATAAAATTTATACACATCAAAAGAAATATAACAGAATGCTGGCATTTTTCTCAGATATATTCGTACAAGTGTTCACAATACCACACAATATACTCAATAGTTATACTTCAAACTACTAAAAACATAAAAATACAATGCGGTGCAAAGAGAAAGACAAAGCTAATTCAATCTCACCACAAATTCGCAACAACAGCTAACTGGACAACTGAGCTGAGATGTTCTCTTTCTGGCTTTTTATAGCTTTCAATCGGCCACACAAAATAGTTCTAGCATTTTCTGTTTCTTGAGATTTCTGGAAAGCAATAAGAGGATGTAATTACAGTTACAGATAACACAGTAGTCATTTACATGTATTCAGTTCCAATAAAAATTAAAGAGATAACCCATTTATTAAATGTTAAATGCACATGCTCGTGCATTTTTACTTTTCCAACATAGCTTTCTCTTATTTACCTGTCTCATGCTGCATTGCATGGGGAAATAAAACAATTTTAATAACAATTCTACTAAAAATAGCTAACTAAATACAAAATTTATAACACTGCCTGCTTCTCAATGACTGCATGTCCCGTTCAGTACCATCCCTGGACAGGAAGCCATACTTACAACTAAATCATCAGTGCAATAATACACATTACAGTACAATAACAAACAACATAAACAATAATTACAGTGAGTAACATAAAATAAATCAAATACCAATCCAATAAATGAGTGCACAATTTTACAAAATTAGAAAAAAAAAAAAAAAAAAAAAAAAAAAAAGGGGACCATGGTCTTATACTATTTACATTATATAAACTATATACTATGGCCATAGTAAGGAGCTATTCTGTCGTAATGAATGACTTTGGACTTAAAATTCAATGACTTATGGATCCAAACTACAATGTCATTCAGCTTCTTTAAGGCTGTGTATGGACCATCCCAAGCTGACTAGTTTAAGATAGAGTCCTTTCCGTAGAATCAGATTCCACAACCTCACTTGTCTCCTTCGCTGAATCGATGTCCTGTAGCTCTCATGTCGTATTGGGTCTTCATCTTATCTGTCACCAGTTAATCTTCCCTGATGTCTTTTTTACTCCATGGGTCTCGAGCAGCCGATGTTGTTGTTGTAATTTGTTGTATGAATGGATTAAGCAGCTCGTGTTTCTCTTCAACCCTGGTATGATATCGGCAGCTTTCTGAGCAGGGTCGTCCAGACAAGTCATTGGCGTTTCCAGGTAGGGATCCCTTCTGATGATGGATAGTTATGTTCTGAGAGACTGAATGCACTTCATTATTTTTAAAGTCCAAGGAAAAATTGTATTTTCTTAGAGAGTCCAATACGTGTATAAAAAGATCTGTAATATTTGCCACATATGCCGTGTTATAGCAGGTGGCATTTCCAAGTACAATCTTTTACATTTAACTTCCCATCTATGTTGGATCAATTTTATCACTTTTTTATGCAATTTATACAATTTATTTTATACAACTTTATCACCAGAGGCAGTCTGGAGGGTATCACAAGATGATGTCCGAATGAGTTCATTTTTAAACTGTTGAGCTAAATCTTTCCAAATGATGGTAAGATTCGTTCCTGTATCGATCAGCATATTGCAAAGAACTTCATTGATATATCCCATTATTGAAGAATCTATTATTGCCGCCACTCACTACAGAAATCTGAAGCGCTTTTAAATGGGTTTTCTCATTATCCTTTAGATTCCTCTCTGCGATATGGCCATTAATTTGTTTCCTGGGTCGTTTGCCAGGGAATGGTTTTATTTTCCATGCCATGGGGTGTTTTGCAGTTCCTCCATATGTGGCCTTCAACTCTGCAATACCAACACTTTAGGGTGGGTTTCTTTTCACTCCTATTCTGTCTCGAGGCACTGAATTTTCTGATCAAATCATTTGTTTTATTTTTCGTGCCCTGGGGTGTTCTGTAATTCCATTGTATGTGGTGTTCAGTACCATATTTTCAACAGTGTAGAGGCAGTTTGTTCTCGCTCCTACTCCATATCATAAGCATTGACTTATCTGGATAAATCATCTAAACAAGCCATCATTTGATCCACTGGCTCGTGGACTTGCGCAGCTTGGATTTACTGTCGGTCTCTATGAGTTGCTTGCTGGGCTGCCTCGAATTTCATGGTGCACACTAGAGTGCTTTTAAAGTCCTTGACATCCACCATTCACAGTACTTTCTGTATTTCAGGATCCCAGATGCCATCGTGAAGTACTGCAAGGACAGGATTTCTCTTGTTTCTGTCAGGCATTCCAAAAAAGCGAGATGAGACAGTGTTTCAACATCTGTGGCAAGTTCCTGGAGTGTTTTCGTGGGCTTCTGTGGGCAGGATTTTAATTGAAGCCTGCTGTAGTCTTTCAAATATTTCTCCCCAAAGCACAGCTTCAACTCACTGGATAAAGCTTCGAAATCTAGTCTGGTTTTCTGGAAGAGTTTGAAGAATATCCGCAGCATCTGCTCTCAGAGAAGCGGCAAGATATCAGGCACTAGCTTGGGAATCCCATCTATTCGCATCTGCTAGTATAGAAAATTGTGTGTTATATACTTGTGATTATAATTAAAGTAATGATAATTAAAATTATGTTTTTCTGAAAACATTAAATTAGAACATTTCCCGTTCCAATTTCTGTTGTGTTTTAAATACCATTACATGTCATTTTGGTGATTTTTGAATAATCACCATCATATGTAGATAGCTTCAGAGATGGATGTCCAGGCATGGCTAAAAATTTAAAACTATCGCTATTATTCCCTGCTGTCAGTATGAATTTCTTCAAAGTATAAACTTCTTTGGCGACCGCAGTAACCCTGTCATAAATTTATTGTTCCATGGCAGAACTCTCTCTTCTGTTTCTTCTTTTACAGAAGAAACTCTTTCTTCCATTTGTTCTTTTACTGAAGAAACTCATTTATTCAGTGTGTCCAACTTTATTTTCAACAGCATCAACTCTTCCTTGCATAGCATTCATTAATGTATAATGCATTGCATGTAATTATTGTTACAGCTAACATAGTAGTCAATTATATTTATTCAATTCCAATACAAATTAAAGATATACCTATTTATTAAATGTTAAATGCATGTGCTGTTGCATTTTTACTTTTCCAACATATAGTAGCCAATATAGCCTTATCTCGGATATTTGTTTCTCGCTGCGTTGCACGGGGAAATACAAAAATTTCAATTATAATTCTATGAAAAATAGCTAACTAAATACAAAATTTGTAACAGTATTTATTTGTAAATTTGGCCACCTACCAGCAACCGAGTAGTAAAGTTGTCGAACACTGGTAGTTCAGTCTTAGGTTCGAATCTCACGAATCGGCTGCCTGCATGGGCATTTTTGTAGTATTTTCCATGCCAGTTTCCCTTTGAAAGTCTTCCACGAAGGCATCTCTTCCATTAGGCAGATAGCCCTCAATGCTTTGCTGTAATGACATAAACCAAACCAATTTGTAAATTTTAATTTCTTTAAAGTCATAAATGCTACATTATTTCATATTTTTAATTTTGTAACTTCTACATTATATTGTATTAGATTTGAACTGCTGGTTTGAAATCCAGAAATTTATAAGAGATAATAAATACAGTAAAGAATAAAGAAATTATAAATTTTAGTTACTCTTTAACTAAAGCAGAATGCTACTGTAATTATGCTAAAATCGGTTTCATTTGTGTAATTTTCCATTTTTTTGTAATTTGGTCTTTCCATGGGTAATTGAGACAGTACATCAGTTTGCATAGAACTTTATTATTTTTGGAATGGGATGGCCATTATATTGGGCCCTTTCTGAAAGAGAATGGGAATATCCACTTAGTGTTTTAGTCCACTCTAGTCATGGCCCATGTTTTCCAATTAAAGATAACAGTTAACTATCTTGTAACTTCGTCTCATTCTTTCAAAAACTCTATACACTGCACAATTTCCCCCTTCTAATTTTGAAAGCTTTTTGGAATAAAATAATTGCGATATGAAATATACTAACAATATGTGATATGAGTCATATCTGAACCAAACACAGCATATTTTAAATTCTTGATAGTTTTTGCTCTTAAGCATTATTTCACACAATTTTTTAACATTTATTTAGACTTATAATTTAAAATTTTAACATTTCAATACTGTTTAAATTTTAAATAATTTGTGTGCCATTAATATTTTATTTTTTTAAACATACTTTCCGTGGAAGAATTTTTAAAGATGCAGATATATTTACTAAAATATACAGCAAAACTTTAACAAAAATTACTAGCAAATGTGACAGTACATAACTTTTCTGTTATTTCAACATTCATTGTGTTTTTTTGATTTACGAAGCCACGAATGTTTTTAAATTTAAGGAAAAAAGTTTGTGAAATCTATGGAAAAAAATCAGATGTATTAAAAAATGAGATGAAGACAGGATGAATAAAAAAAGACTAAAAATGTCTTTAAAGTAACAAAAGTATGTATGTATTTTGTAAATTAACTTTAAAATAAAAATGCCACAAAATTTTTGTTAAAACTTCATAAATACACTTAATTTTTTAAGACAAAATCATTATTTAAAAATTCAGATGATTATTTTAAAAGAAAGCTGTGTGGTATAATACTAATAAATAGAAGGATATTTTTATAATGGAAATATATATTCTGTTCCAGGGCCACTGCGAAGGGTGGCAAAATTGTTCATCACTCAAATGGCGCCTGGACCACGGGGGGCACCAAAATTTTTAGTCCTTATAGTTTTTTAATTTTATGTTACATAAATAAAAGTTGTTAATTATACGCTTGCAAATCTGCATGTTTTATATTCTAAGCAATAAAATGAAATTTTATTATTTTAATTTTATATTTTAATTTCATTTTACTTTTGTTTTTGTTTCTGCAGGTTGTTTTCGTTTGTGTAAAACAAAATTTAATTGCTAATACGAACAATAAAAACATGTTTCGTGTGGAGTTCGTGCTATCACAAGGAACGTGTTAAAAATCTAAGAGTTTGTAACACATAACAACAGGAATTAGGAATGTTTTGTATCTGCATATATTTATTCTTTATGTGCTGAGCTGTTGCAGCTCAACATCGTTGTTTAGTTTGCTTCTTTTTTTTTGCAATGATAATATGCATTTATTTTTTAAATGTGGCAACCGAAAGTCCGTATTCAAAATTATTATTCTATTCTCAACTTAAATATATTTTCATCACTTTAAGGGCACATGTATTTTGCTTTTTTTTTTTTTTTTTATTTTTCATTTGTTTTGTGTGTTTAATAGTATTCTTTCTTGGTATTTTTGCATGTAGTAAGATAACTCAGCCATGGACTCGGTCCGACCCTCTCAAGTATCTACAATTTCTGAAAAACTTTACTACGATTACTATATGCAAATTTGTTCAATCTTTTTATGTTAGATTTAGTTACACTTTGTGAGGTAAACCAGATACCTATTACAAGTGCTAGTTTGCGATTTTAGCCCCCAAAAGGGCTGTGTAAGAATCTCTTACATTCAAGAGCACACACATGTATGGTGGGGACGCCGCCGTGTGTGTGTGTGCCCTTGAATTAACTGGGGAACACTCTTATTTTTAATCATATGCATAGTTGCTACTTATAAAGTGTGTACATTCTGTGAAATTGCTTCAGAAGCAAAGTGCTATGATTAATTGTTTTCAAATCATAAAGAAAAAAGTCTGGAGCACAAAATCAAAAAAACGAAATTGTGACAAAAGGAGGCTAATCAGAAACTGGTGGGATTTCTAAATAAATATCTCAGGAACACAATAGGATTAGACGGACAAGCAATAGTGACAATGGAAATTTTTTGAAGTTGTTTGAAACCATAGCAAAATTTGATCCAATAATCACTGAACATCTCAACAAAATTCAAACATTTCAAAAGAAGAACATTGCTCATTACTTAGGGGATCAAATTCAGAATGAAATTATAAGCATTATTTCAGGAGGAATTAAAAAGCATTTATTACATATGATTAAACAGTCAAAATATTACTCACTAATTCTGGATACTACACCTGATGTCAGTCATACCGAACAGTTGACTGTTGTAATTCAATTTGTTTATAAAAACAAGGAAACCAATAAAGCCCGATTTGATGAACATTTTTTAGGATTTTAGGCTGTCAACGACACTACTGGGCAGGATCTGTTTGAATTCATAAATGCACCTTTAAAATCGTTAGAACAAAATTTATCAGATTTATGAGGCCAATGTTATGATAGTGGTGCTAATATGAGAGGAAAGCACAAAGGATTGCAACAAAAAAGTATTGAAAATAATTCGAGGGCACTCTATATCCCCTGCTCTGCCCATTTTCTAAAATTTAGTTGTAAATGATGCAGCTAAAATTTCTTTCGAAACAGTTGGTTTCTGGGCTAGTGCAGGAGTTTTACAACTATTTTTCTTCATCCATTAAAACGTTGGTCTATTTTGCAACAGTACATTGAAAATCTAACCTTAAAGTCACTCTTCATCACCAGGTGGGAAAGTAGAAATCAAGCTTAAGACCGTTTAAAAATGATTTGAAGGGAATTTTGAGAGCAGTAATAAATATTCAAGAAGATCAAACAAGAGACATGGAATCAAGAACTCAAGCAAAAAATTTGATTCAGAAGGTTTCCTAGTTTAAATTAATTTGTTCCATTAATATCTGGTACGATATTTTAAATTTAGTAAATGCGATAAATGAAATAATGCAAAATTCTAAATGTGATTTACAAGTTGTGACTGAAAATTTACAAAATCTTTTATCAGAACTAAATAATCGTAGATCAGATGAAGCGTATGAACATGCAAGCAACCACCAATGCAAGTATCATTGCTGATGATTTGGGTGTGGATACTGATTTTCCACAAAGTCGAAACAGGTTTATAAAGAAACTGTTTCAAGATAAACAAACCAATCTACAATCCAAGACAAAAATTTAGAGTTGAATTTTACAATATAATATTAGACACTGCTATTTCTTCAAGTACTGAAAGATTCAGTAAATTAAGAGAACATTACAACTACTTCAAGGTGTATACTGTATACCTAATTTAAAAGATGGAGTGGCAATCAAGTTTTAAAACATTGTAAAGAATTTGAAAAAAAATTTAACGGACACTAAAAGTGTTAATTGAAAGGGTATTGATGGATTAAAATTGTTCGAAGAAATAAAATCTTTGCGATGTTTTATCAAAGAGGATATGTCACCTACTGATGTTTTAAATTATATTTATGAAAACAGTCTTACCGATACATTTCCAAATATTGCAATAGCTTTACAGATTTCTTTAACCATGCCAGTTTTGGTGGCTACTGAAGAGCAAAGTTTTTCAAACTTAAAATTATAAAAAAATTACTTGCGATCTACCATGGCCCAGGAGAGATTATCGGACTTGTCAATTATATCCATAGAGTGTGAAATTTTGGATAAGTTAAATATAAAGGAATTGATACATGCATTTGTAGCTGCTAAAGCTAGGAGATTCAATATTTGAATATATTTATTAATTTTTATATTTTACTTAATTTTTTTTTAATTTATGAAATAATAAAAAACAATAAGACAAATGTGTTTTAATATTATAATTTTAATGTTTTTCAGTTCGAAATTCAAATTTTAAATACTGTAAAAGAGTATTTCACATAAAATTTGCAACACTTTATAAGTGTGTAACAGAACCGCGTAAAGTAGTGCCAAATTTCAATTTGAACAAGGGCGCCGAATACCCACGCGGCGCCCCTGTTTTCTTCTGCATATCACTGAGTAGTCTAATTTGGAATCAGTTGCACTTTTAAATTTTCCTTCCGTGAGAAAAAGCATCTAGCAGTTTAATCAATAGTTACTACATTTCCTTTTATTTTGTAAAGTAAATTCACCTGTCCGAGGATGATTCAAACTACCTAAAAGGGCAACTAACAAGTAAGTGACAAGAAAGCATATAGTTCAACTCCCCCTCCCTATTTTTCAAAGATTTTACAGACATCAAATCCCTGATCTCAAAAGGTCAATAACATTATTCTGAATATTGAATTAAATTTAAAAGTGAATTGCATAATTTAAATACATATTCTATAAATGAAGGAAGGTGGATAAG